ACCAATGATAGACTAAATGTGACCAATATTAGACTAAATGTGATTAATGATAGACTAATTGTGACCAATGATAGACTAAGTGTGACCAATAATAGACTAAATGTGACCAATGATAGACTAAATGTGACTAGTCATAGACTAAATGTGACCAATGATAGACTAAACGTGGCTAGTCATAGACTAAATATGACCAATGATAGACTAAATATGACCGATATTAGACTAAATATGATTAATGATAGACCCAATGTGACCAATGATAGACTAAATGTGACCAATGATAGACTAATTGTGACCAATGATAGACTAAATGTGACCAATGATATACTAAATGTGACCAATGATAGACTAATTGTGACCAATGATAGACTAATTGTGACCAATGATAGACTAAATGTGACTAATAATAGACTTAACGTAGCTAATGATAGACTAATTGTGACCAATGATAGACTAAATGTGATTAGTCATAGACCATATGTGGCCAGCGATAGACCAAACAACTTAAGGTAAAATTTACAAATATCGGAATGTAGATAAATGCCTTAGCCCTAAATAGTTATCTTTCATTTTTCATTTGTTTTTTATGATTGTTGCCATGCTTACATATGATTGTTGCCATGCTTACATATGATTGTTGCCATGCTTACATATGATTGTTGCCATGCTTACATATGATTGTTGCCATGCTTACATATGATTGTTGCCATGCTTACATTTACGACTTTTTCCAAATCAATAATAAATTATACTACGATTTTTACAGTCTATAATTTGAAATACTTACCAAAATATGACTTTTTCAATAAAAATGACATCACATTTAAATAAAGATAAATACATTCTTAAATCTGGGTAAACATGATAAATTTACTGTTTCATTCTTGTGAGACACGCAACATTTATAACCACAGAACATAATGGCAAATAAAACATAATATGTTTTACTTTGGGTTTATATACGTGCCACTCTTGGAATAAATAAACAGTGAATTTTTAAGTAAGTTCCCAGAAAAGTATTCCAAGTGATTAAACATTGATTCATGCTTTCGTTGAAGAAAATGTTAAGAGTTTGCACAATGGCAACGCATTTCCAGTGTGAAATAGCACCCTCTATAGGCTTAAAGCGTGTAGCAATGTTTAGCGCCTCGCTGGAAGGTTTACCTCAGTTATTTCATGCTGTTGTCATAGTTACTTCGATATTTCGCATTTACTGAAATCATCTTTCTCAAATATTCGTTTGATCCATTTATCATGAAAATAATTTTCTTCAGATATTATCCAATATGATATTAAAATAATTTAATATATCACAGTAGGTCCAACATTGTATACCCAAATATGATTTTATTAAGATGATTGTGACATTATTTTATGTAAATATGCAAATAAGTGGTGGGCTCTCTTCCACAACTTATTGATGTTATTATATGTTTTACCGTAGACAATTATGATAATTTGAAAAAAAATGAGAAGCAACAATATTGTAAGCTTATATTGATATTAATAAATATATAAACTAAAACAAAAAAATAACTAATTATTAATTTTCAGGATTCCGAGAACATGGTAAAAGTGGGGTTGTACAAGAGATTTGTAAGTCCATTTTGTTTATGAGAAAATTCTCTACTATAGATTTGACACATGCCATGATATATTCGTTGATCGAATGTATATAAAGTGGAAGTGACGTAATTGTGGGTCACCTGGAAGTGACGTAATTTTGGGTCACCTGGAAGTGACGTAATTGTGGATCATCTGGATGTGACGTAATTGTAGGTCCAGTGTTACGTGGCGACATGACTTATCGTTAATCCAAAAAACATGACGTCATCGTGTTTGTTGTATTCACTATATCAAAAAGTTTTTCTATCATCTACTAGAAATGGAATGACCATCGTTTACAATGGGATTCGTCAAAATATGGTAATATTGTCAGCTTGCATCTGCCAGTAAGTGTATTGTGGAATCCTGAAATGGATATACATCTGAAACACGGGTGAGTAAAAATCTCATACATCGTTCGAATCGCACAGTTTGTTTGTGCTGACTTATGCCAACTTGGCCGGGTAACCTGAAACAAACTTACCTTGGCCGACGAAGATTGCTCTCATATGACTGGTATATGTATTGCGATATTTCATTACTAAAATTTAATGAGTTACAAAGTTTCACTCTAACACAAACACACATATAATAGCAAAACATTGCAAATACCATCATCGATAAAATATAGGATTTTTTTAAATACCGACTAAGTGCGCCTGAACTGTCTCTGGCACAAATGAATTTAATTATTGTATTGAAACGTTTGAACATATCTAATAATTCTCAAAAACACTGGAAAGACAAACGAATCTTTATAAACTCACTCAACGGGAAAACATTTACTCTACTTGTATTATTATTCTTATCGCCTCGGCGGAATTACATTACATTACATTACATTACATTACATTCCTGCATTTGTCACGTTAAAGTTCATGACATTGTGCTCGGATGTACTTTTTGTGTTTGAAAACGTTTTGTTGTCGCATTTTCTATTTATAGAACCTTTATAAATGTATAACAGATTAAACTATTGATAATATAGCGTATTTAAAACCCGCGTCCTTCAAGTCTGTCAGTGATTGGAGCATGGAGAGTGCATTTATTACAAAGGATTTATGTAAAACTATGTGTAAAAATAAAACATTTCACATGTTGGGATTTGATGTTGATACGCTGTATTCAAGACGGTTTTATCAATGTTTTCTACGCGGAGTGATACACATTTTTCTACTGCGCAGTTTTTAATTATCAAGTGAGTGTTACTTTTTTCAACAAGGATGTTTGTTTCCTTTAAATTTTAATTTTGAAAATGTTATGGACCTAGAACAAAGGTGGTTATAAGGTCACTAATCAGCATACAGCAACACCTCTGACGTCACTAGTCAGCGTACAGCAACACCTCTGACGTCACTAAACACCGTACAGCAACACATCTGACGTCACTAATCAGCATACAGCAACACCTCTGACGTCACTAATCAGCGTACAGCAACACCTCTGACGTCACTAAACACCATACAGCAACACTTCTGAAGTCACTAATCAACGTACTTTTTATAAGCAGACTGGATTTATTTAAGCAAATAACACCGAATAAACGGCAAGGTAAAGACTATGTTTATGTTTATGTTTATTTAGACTGTTGTAATTCCACTATACATTTGAATTCACCTTAATAATAACAGTCAAGCCCACACCTCACAATCAAACTTTAGTCAGATAATATAAAGATATAAGATTACGAAGAGGGCTCTAAGAAAACGACACGACATGGTACGTGACGACTGCCCCGATTTAAACGAATGCATATATCACTAATATATTTATATTATGGCAGAAATAGTTCATACATCTTGCCTTTACATGTAAATTTACAAATTTCAACAACAGAAAATTGTTTCATTTTACAGGACAGAACAATATACTGATTCATCGACATCGACAAATGCCATAGTAGACAACACTGGTGACATTTCTCTGTTCACGTATCCTGCGACACGAACTCAAGTTCAGTGCGAAAACAGCGCCACCAAAGACCAATATGTGTGTTCGTTCGTTTATATACTCTGGACCTACGACAGTACGGAAATAGAGTTGGATTTGATGGAGGATGGCGCCATAGAAACCGACTTGTACAAAGAAAGCCTAGACTGGAAATTAGTTGGCAACTCCAGTGAAAGATTGGAGACGTATTCTCCGGATAATCGCAGTGTTAAAACACATGAACTGGTCTATTCCTTGATAGTCAAACGAAATCAAGACAATACGTCGTCGTGTGTCAAACCTTGTGGTACCTGTTACCTTATTTTATTTTGCTTGTTCTTTTTAAAAACATTCTTTTGCCAGTGATATGTGTAGGTCAGAATTCAATGTGACTTGCTTTCAAAATTAAAGGGCGATAGTCGTCGCACCGCGCATGCGCGAGATATGGGTCTCTTATAAACAAAACTTGCGATTTTGACTGTTGTGCACACCAACCAGTACAAACTGAGAGGTAACCAAGTTTTAATTTGGTATTTGGTTTTTAGAAGTTATCGAACGATTCGCTGGCGGTAATTAGTGGCACCCAGGGCAAAATTTGTAGAAAAGCGCATTGGATTATGGGAGAATCAATGTTTATCAAGACAATTGTCGCACATGGCGGCGCAACGACTACCGCCATTTAAATTTGGAAAGAGCAAAGCTTATTGAACTCAAACTGGCTTCGAAGCCAACAATTGGTCGAGTTATTTTATCGTCCTTTTTCGTAGTTGGTTGTTATAATAAGTTAAAGACATTGGCCGGCGGTCATTGGTTGTTTAAACCAGAAGTTACGTCACACTTCTGTTTCCGTCGGGCCATGCCTTTAATCCTCCAAGCACCCATTTGATATAACACCAAATAATTGCAGTTAAACGTCAAAATTATAGTGCTGTGAATTCCTGCTTATGTCCAGTCACTTTGTACTATTTGGATAAACATAAGCCATTGGCAGTGTGCGTCGTGCACGTCATCAAACAACCTAGTAACAAGCCAACTTGAAACTCTAAACTTGCATACAGTATCTTGTTTGTTTGTCATTTTTTGTTATTTCAATAAAATCAAAATATTCAGCGAGTTAGACTTGCATATTTGTTGTTGTTGTTGTTTTTTTCAATAAAATGTGAGTGTATATTATAAATGGCGACAATTTACCCGAAAACCCGAAAGCCGCCGTAGCCGCGTTTGCTCCACGGTAACCATCCTTCGACTGTTAAAACACCCACATAGTATTTTATAGAAACAAAAACACCAACAAACATAAAAACAAGAGAGTGTATATAAGTCTACTGAAACCTGCATATTGCCACGGTCTATTGTAGTGAAATTCACTTTTGTTTCATTTGTACCAAGTGACTTGGGGGAAATTATCGCCTTCAAGTTGTCTCTATACACGTCTGCTCGAGGTACGGGATCGGAAAAGTCTCGCACGCAACGAAATACGTTTCAATAGCTAGTCTTTAGCCACACCGAGAACGCCTCAAAGCAAACTGCCTCGTTCGAGACTCTGCCCAGGACTGACCAAGACTCTCTCGCCTCGTGGAGCTTTCTCTGGGACCAAGGACTTCCGTCCAGGACGTCGCATGAGCCTAAATGATGACAGATTATGGAAATGTGTTAAATGATATAAACCAGCTGTCCAATAGAATCTTACTATTAAGTCGTATCAGTGACCGATCTTTAGACAAATAGAAATAAATAATGACACAAGTTCGAATTTGACATCCTGAGTCTGGATTTTTAGTTGACAGCGTGTACTTTACTACTTATAATATTGTCGTATTTCATTGCGCATTGCACATCGTAATGCCTCAATTAATAATTGCACCATATGATTAATTCTGACAGCTGGAGTTCTCCTTCTTGGCCACTTTTACGTAAACGACTGTTATGGGCTGAGCAGTTAATTAACGATAGAGACCCCCTTGAACTCATTTCATTAACAATTCATTCTAGACATGTACCAGGATACTTAAAAGCATTCTCATGCGACTACGAGTCGGCGCCAGCGAGATTCGAAAGCCAACTGTTTAGTCAATACCCAAGCAGTTAACCAATTTGCTACTAGTAGCGAGCTTGCAAATTGGCTGCCCCAATACTTCTGAATCTTGCTGTGACCATGTATAACTGGAAATATCTGTTGATTACTGTGTACACTATTTATACCGCTAATCTGGGAGAAATTAAAAATAGAAAACCCCAATTGTCTCTTACTAGTATAGTAAACTTTCAATAAACAGCGTCCAAACAAATTTGAAAAGAAAATATTATATTATGACAATCATCTGATAGTATGTATTTACTCATCGCTTTGAAATATGTGCGTTAATTTGTCAACAAAAGTTTTTGGTAAATTTGTTAAGCAGAAAGTTAAATATTTTTTTCACAAAATTAACGTGCATACTTTCATGTACCAACTAATATTAAAACAATATAGGCTCGTATAAATGAAAATTGTCCGTTTATTTTTAAAGTTTTCGGTAACTTTATGTCATATTACCGCTATACCGGGACCCAAGATGACATGTTAAATTTGACATCGGTTAATAAATATGTTTACAGTGACCACATCAAAACGTGATATCACGTGACAAACCATTAATCGTACAGTAAACAGCAGACGGAATGTTATCTATAAGCCCAGAAGACAGAACTTCAAGCCTGGTATCAGTTTGAGTATCAACGAGTACAGATTGGCATGGTAAACCTACACGTTGGAAACTGGATGTAGACTGACGTCACATCGAGATATCCTTATTAAACTTCATTTGATATGAACGTTGAAACATTTATAAACATTAAGTGGCCTCCAATTCGAAATAAATTTAGCTAATACAGCAGCGTCGATAGGTGATTGACTGATCTGAAGTAAAACTACCTCCAACGTGTCTAGTACATAGGTTTTGTATTTCATCACACACATGCACATTATATATGTCAATTTAAGATTTGAATTAACTAAAGTCGTGAAAATAGTCTCACTTGTACGTAAAGTTAAACAAGCAGCCTATTGGCTGAGATAGCTCCGCTGTTAGCAATGCACATTTCAATCAAAGAACTGAAGACATCATTAGAAAATGAACAATATGAATAGTATCAAAGCAATCGGACTTACAGTTTTTAACAAGAAGTCGAAAATATCACTTTTTACCAAAAATTACAAAAATATTCACTAAAATAAATTAATTAGAGAATTGAAGATATCATAACAAAATGAACAAATCTGAGAGAGGTCCACATGTAGTACCTATATATGTAATATCAAAGCAATCGGACTTACAGTTTTCAACAAGAAGTTGAAAATATCACTTTTTACCAAAAATGACAAAAATATTCACCAAAATTAGAGAACTGAAGATATCATCACAAAATGAACAAATCTGAGAAAGGTCTACATGTAGTATCTATATATGTAATATCAAAGCAATTGAACTATTGATTTTTAACAAGAAGTCGAAAATATCACTTTTTACCAAAAATTACAAAAATATTTACCAAAATTAGAGAATTGAAGATATCATCACAAAATGAACAAATCTGAGAGAGGTCCACATGTAGTACCTATATATGTAGTATCAAAGCAATTGGACTTGCGGTTTTTAACAAGAAGTCGAAAATATCAAACTTTTTACCAAAAATGACAAAATATTCACCAAAATTA